TCAGGGGTCCAAGATTATCTTCTGTGTCTGTGTTAATTGGTTTCCCTTTTCTTTGTTGAAGAGGGTCTGTGCAATCCTTCTGCCTAGTCTGCCATCTTGCCGGAACTTCCCCAGATCCACAAATTTTTAAAGAGCTAATAATAGATACAGTGTTGAATTTTCATTTTGTTCTTGGACAAGTATCAATTTAAATCCCAATAGGTTTTTCACTTAGTCCAAGGAGCCTCTTTTCTCTAAGATTTCTTGTCTCTTTGTGCTTTTTGTCCTACTATGCCTAAGGTCTTCTTTGAGCTTTATGCTTTAAAGCTACTCAATTATTTTTAGAAATAAACATCAATCATTGTTTTAGCCTATTTTATTTCATTCATTCATCCAATAGATACAAGGCTAGGGCTAGGCTCAGTTTAACCCCTTCTGAGTTCTAAGTTTGTATCTGGCTGCTCTTAGAAGCTCAGGAGGGCAAGCTCTGCCACTGTGGATAAATCCATGGGTACTTCTATAACTGGAAGGGCTAGCTAATTCAGGGATGGAGTATTAGGAAGCACAGTTCTAGCACAGGACTAAACCCTTATTCTCTGAACCAGATATTATCAGGAAGAGGCTTTCCCTTCCAGTTAAATACAAAGTCCATACAACAACCTACAACAGGCTTTCTATATTATCTACCCATCCTTACCTCTCCAACACCTCCACCTTCCACCCAGCCCTACTTTACTAGTCACACTGTACTGGGGCTTCCACCTCAGGGTTCTACTTGCAGAACTCTTCCCATCTACTTGGCTCATTCCCTCATCTCGCCCAGGTCTTACCTCAAATGTGACCTCAGCAAGCACACTCCCCCCCACCACACACTTCCACCATTTTCCTTCTCTGCTTTTTCTCCATTTAAAAAAAAAAAAAAAAAAACCTAGGATATATTTTATTTCTTTATCTTGTTTCTTTCTCCTCCTAAAATGTGAGTTCCATGAAGGCAGGATTTTCTTTTTAATTTCTCCTGAGATTTGAGTGAACATTTATAGAAGAAATTCATTTTCCATACAGCAGTTCATACACATTTTGTTTCATGACATTGACTGTGATTCCCCACAATGTAACAGCTCAAAGCCACAGGAGAGAGTTCAGTTCAAGACTTCAGGCTCTATCAGACCAGCAAATCTGATTTTTTTTTCAATGATTTTGAGTTTTGTTCCATATTGTTCTTCCACTCTATCCAGGATCTCCTGCGCCAATCCCTTTCGGTGTGGTTGAACGTGGTAGCCGGACACCATCTAGTTCTTCTGGTCTCATGTTCATACAGGTTGAGGATAACATGGCCAACTAGTCTCTTGGACTGTTTCCATGTGTCTTTGGTTTTCTTCATTGTTCTCTGCTCTGGATGAGGAGAGACCCACAATTGCATCTAGATGGCTGCTTGCAAGCTTTTAAGATCCTAGTAACTACTCACCAGAGTAGGATGCAGAACAATGTTTTTGTGTAGTATGTTATGCCAATTAAGCTTGATGTCCCCTAGGACCATGGTCTCAAGCCCACCAGTCCAACTACTCACTCCCTCAGGGTAGCTGGCTGTGGCCAAGAAGTCACCACAACCTTGTCCCTTGTCAGCTCTACCATACAACCCAGGCATTCTTATAGTACACACAAATATACCTGTAGAAATATCATCTACCAACCCTATACATGGTCATGGGCACTCTCCCCTCTGCTTAGACATAACTGATCATTACACCTGTCTACCCACTTATCCACCCATAGATAAATGCTTGTCATCACTGACAACACAGTACTGTACACGCAAAAGGGTTCATCTTTGTTGTCTGTACCTCTCATGGACCTCACTATCTTTCTCTTCCTCTATGGAGGGCAAAAATTTTTTATCTCTTATTCTTTGCTTCATCATTTATTGCCTGGCATTCAATAAATATTAGGTATTCAATAAATGTTTACTGAATAAATAAACTCTTAATCTCAATTTTCCCAACTTGTTTCTACTCCCTAACTGGTTCTGAACTTGGATAGGAAAAAAGAATGTTTATTTCCTTTCAAAATATCAACACTTATCATTCTTTTTTAAAAAATTTATTCTAGCATGTAACACACAATAACATAACAATACAAAGTTATTCATTTATCTATATTTGTAGCCCCGTATGTTGGGCTGGGGTAAAGGATTCTTTATTCCATTTTAGGGACAGTTAGGCTAAGACCATTTCAGATCACTAGAACATAAAAGCCATATCCTGAAAAGTCTAAATGATTATCCACCCTTGCTAGTAAAAAAACCTAAAAATATATACATTCTTCCTAAGAACTAATTCTATCAAAAAAAAAAAACAGACTGTAATGTAATCTTTTTATAACAAAGATTAATGAGCTTTTTGTATATTTTACTTATACACTAGCTATTTTAATGACTGAAGTTGAATTTCATTTTCTAATTATTCACATTTCACTGAAAATTACACACTAATTCCTGTACCATAAAAAATAACTGAGAGAAAAAATTTTCAGGCTATACTTACGAAATAAGTAACTGAAACTTGCATTAAACTTATTTCATTAATTTTTTATTCAATAGTTAATTTTTTTTTATATTTTACTGATACATAAAATGAAGTACTCAGTAAAGGCCAATCATTTAAAATACAATGAATTAAAGGATATAAAGTACTAAAACAAAGGTTGAAAAGAAAGAAGCCTTTTATAAAATATATACAAAATGTGTGTGTGTGTGTGTGTGTGTGTGTGTAGGGAGCTCTGGTGGCTTAGTGCTAACTGAAAGGTCGGCAGTTTGAACCCACCAGCTGCTCCATGGGAGAAAGATGAGGCAATCTGCTTCCAAAAAGATTTACAGCCTTGGAAACACTATGGGCAGTTCTACTCTGTGGTAAAGGGTTGCTATGAGTCAGAATCCACTCCATGGCAATAGATTTCTATAATATGTATATATATGCATATATATACCTGCTGTGAAGATGGCTGCAGTTTTGACACCTTTATCTTCATTTTGTATGTCTTGAAGGAATGAACCAACTGTTGATAACATTGGTTTGACTACAAACTGACACCGCTCTTTTCTGGATGGCAAAGGAAGTGTTATCAAAGGAAGGCCATATCTGTAATTAACTGTTATTTCTGTTAAAAAAAAAAAAAAAGACAATAATATAGGAACGAATAAAATTTATTTTAAGAAAACAACTATAAAATATAAGAATTTTAAAAAGGAATGTGTAAACATGGAATTCATAAATGTCTTTATTCTTATAATAATTTGTATTACTTGTATACCACTTTTCCTTATAATACAGGTTACATATTCCCTTATACTACAGATTAAGGAGCTCTGGTGGCATAATGGTTAAAGCATTCGACTGCTAACTAAAAGGTCAGCAGTTTGAACCTACCAAACGCTCTCAGGGATAAAGATGAGGCAATCTCTTATAAAGATTTACAGCACTGGAAACCTTATGAGGCAGTTCCACTCTATCCTAAAGGGTCCAACTATGAGTCTGAATTGACTTGATGGCAGTGGTTTTGATTTTTTTTTTTAATCTACAGGTTACATGTTCTCTACCAATCTACATTTTATTCATGTACCACACTGTACTATAATTATCTATTTAGAGTCTTCCCAGATAAATAGTTAAGCCCTTGAGGGCAGAAACTGTTTCTAGTTCCTCTCTACCTCCTGACTGGGGGGTTAGAAGCCTGCCAAAAGACAAGAGAATTTTACAGGAACAGAAAAGGGAAGAGCTGAACCCTGGCTGAGGGTACAGAGGAGTGGGAGGAAAACAAAAGTAGTTAGTCTGTTTTACTCAAAACTCAGAGCTATCACTTTATTTGGAAAAATAGAAATAGCATGTGAATCAAAGAAGTGATAAGAAAGCTTACCATCAGATGGCACCACTGTACTATAATGAGGTGACAGATAATATTTCAGATTTCCACATAGCTTCCCACGTAAAACCTGTAAGAAAGATAATTTTTTTCATTTTTAAAAAAAGTAAAGTTGAAATAAGTGTCTTTACCAGAAGACTTTTTAACCTTCTATGACGGAGGAAGATGGGGCAATCTACTTCCATAGTGATAGCTGCTTCGGAAACCCAAGGAGGGGTCGCTATGAGTTGGGTCCGACTCAACGGCACATAACAACAACAACATGACATATATAAGGAAAAGTTCAACTTCCCATTCATAGTCAGGTAAGCCCTTAGAGAAGCTCACTAAACTGCCTGTTTGGCCTGCTACTATTTTATGCTGTAGCAGTAACACACTGGGATAGTGATTCTCAAATTGGGATGTGAGGACCACTGAAAATTCCAGAGTTTTGTAGCAAATTTTAAATTAGGTTTCTCCTTTTATGTGATAATCTAAAGCAAATAGATACAAGCATATTCTAGCTACTTGTTTCTCAAGGTATGATCCCTAAACCAGAAACATCAGCATCACCTTGGAGCTGATGAGAAATGCAGAATCACAATGCCAGCGCCAACTTACTGAATTAAAATCTGCATTTTAACAAAATCACCCAGATTATTCACATGCATCATAGAGTTTAAGAACACTGTTCTAGATCTGTGCTAATAAGGTAGCTGTATGTGGCTATTTAATTAAAATTAAATAACATTTAAAATTCAGTTCTTCAGTCACATTTGCCATACTTCAAGTGCTCAACAGCTATACATGGTTAGTGGATACAGTATTGAACAGTAGAGAAATAAAACATCTCCCTCATCACAGAAAGTTTTACTAGAAAATGCTGTTGAAGCTAGAAAATATCTGAATAACCACTATTATGGAAAATGTTTTTAGTAGGTCCGCTGGTGTCTGTATTTACAATTCCACTGGTGCTTAAAGAAGGCCTAAAAGCTTTGGTGGTATAGTGTCTAAGGCATTCGACTGCTAACCAGAAGGCTGGCGGTTCAAACCTACCACCTACTCTGCAGAAGGAAGACTGGGCAATCTACTTCCAAAAAGATTTACCATCTCAGAAACTCAAAGGGGTCACTATGAGTCAGAATCAACTCAATGGCAGTGAGTTTAATGGCTTCATGGTGCACTGTATGAACAAAGGTACTGCAGTAGCAGTAAAAGCAGGCACTGAAGCACTGGTTTACAGACATGTGGAATGCAAGAGAACTTGAGTCAGAGAGATTAGTGCCATAGTCACAACATAGTGGCTGTTTCATATTGATGCCACTTTTTAATGTATCACCTTGCAACAGTCCACTCACTAGTAACAGCAAAGAATTATTTCATAAAGTGTATTTTTAAAATTTTCTGGATTTGAGGGTGCAGTATTCATATAAATGAGTGCTAAAAAAAAAAATGTTCACTGCTTGTTGTTGTTGTTATGTGCCGTCGAGTCAGACCCAACTCATAGCGACCCCTCCTTGGGTTTCCAAGGCAGTATCACTACGGAAGTAGATTGCCCAACCTTCCCTCCGAAGAGTCCAGGTGGGTTTGAACTTCCAGCCTACTGGTTAGCAGTCAAGTGCTTTACGCACTATGCTACTAGAGCTCCTGCTAGAAAGAAAAATTAAAAAAAAAAAAAAGAAGAAGAAACATAACTACATTCAAAAGATGTCCCTCTCATATGATCCCAAAGGATCTTGTCAACAAATGAAACAAAACATTGAATTACAAAACAACACAAGCCATTAGTTTCAATTAAGTATCATGTCACATTAATTTAAAGTTGTTCATTTGAATTTTATTTTAGTTGAAAATATGACTTACTAGTAAAACAAGAAAAGGCTGATTATTTCTTAAAGGAGATACATACAATTCTTAATATATAAAATTATACATAGTAAAAGTTCTTCAAGTTTGGACGATGGATATTATACTTTTAGTGAAACTATATAAAAATGATAAAAATGTATCCACTTGAACACAAATCAGAATTTGCCATTAAACTATTCTTTAAAAATACTTAATTATACAAATGATTCTCCCCCTCCCCCCACAATCCTACAACTTCTCCAGAGATAAAAAAAACACTGTTAGAAGTTTGGTTGGTATTCCTGTTGACTTTTTTCCTATGTGTTTAGATATTTAGTGAATTCTATACTAGGACCTGTATTACAATAATGTTTGTTATGAACCAGGTTCCTAGGTGCTTACAATAATTCCTGATCACAAAGTACTTACATATTTAATGAGGATGAAATGAGGATGTCATTTTAAAGAGACATATAATTCAAACTTCAGTTAATTTTCTGTCAATGTGCAGCTGCAGTCATTTTTCAATTATCTTCAGCAGAATTTTCCAGCATGTGATATTAATGATAGTATTTAATAATGTATGAATTGCATTTGATCTCCTTTCTTTGAAATAGGTACAGATATGGATCTCTTCCAGGTGGATGGCCACATAGCTGTCTTCCAAACTTCTTGACAAAGATGAGTAAGTACATTCAGTGTTGCATCCGTTTGTTGAAGTACTTCATTGGTTATCTGTCAATTTCTAGAGCTGGTTTATCTACAAGGCCATCAGTGCAGCTTGAACTTCTTCCTTCAGTACCAGCAGTTCTTGATCTTATGCTACCTCTCAAAATGGGTAAACATCCACCAAATCCTTTTGGTACAGTGATTCTATGTATTTCTTCTATCATCTCTGGATGTTTCCTGCCTCATTTAGTTTTTTACCCATAGAATCCTTCAGTACCACAACTGAAGGCTTGACTTTTCTCTTCAGTTCTTTCAGTTTAAGAAATATCAGTCTGTCAGTTTGCCATGCCATGGTGGCTTATGTGTTTCTGTGATGCTGTGACCCACCCATGGTGGACAGATTTCAGTGGAGCTTCTAGACTAAGACAGACAAGGAAGGAGGACCTGGCATGCTAATTCCAAAAATCAGCCAATGAGAACCCTGCAATCACAGAATACTATACTGGACATTGGCTGGCTTATTTTGGATTACATCATCAGGAAGGCTAGAAGGATATCATGTTTGGTAAAGTGGAGGAACAACAAAGGTGAGGGAAGCCTTCAATAAGATGGACTGACAAAATGGCTATAGCAATGGACTGAAATATATCAATGATCATGGGGATGGTACATGACCAGGCAGCATTTGGTTCTATCATACATGGGGTTGCCATGAATTGGAGACCATTCGACAACAGATAACAACAACAGTCATTCTGGAAAATGTCTGGCAGTTTCTTAAACATACACTTGCATGTGACCCAGCACTCCCACTGCTAGTTATTTACAAGAGAAATGAAAACTTACGTTTACACAACCAAACCCACTGCCATCAAGTCAACTGCAAGTAATTAGCAATGCTTTAGGGGGCTCTGGTGGCGTTAGTGCCTAAGGCACTTGACTGCTAACCAAAAGGCTGGAGGTTCAAACCCACCAGCCACTCCTCAGAAAGATGATGGGGCAACCTACTTCCGTAGTGATACTGCCTCAGAAACCCAAGGAGGGGTCGCTATGAATTGGGTCTGACTCAACGGCACATAACAACAATAGGATAGAGAAGAACTGCACCACAGGGTTTCCTAGGCTGTAATCTTTATGGAAGTCGATTGCCTCATCTTTCTTTTTATTTCCTCCCAAAAGAGTGTACGCTTCCTTGGAGCAGGGTGAGTGATCTGGTCAGTGCTATATTATCAGCACATGGAATGGTGCCTGGCACACAATAATGGTTCGATAAATATCTGTGAAATAAATGTGTGAATATTTTCACTGTGCTAAGGGAAAAGAGCTATCAATCTAGAATTCCATACCCAGGAAAATTACTCAAGAGTCCTCTTTCTCTAAATGAAGAGATTTTCAGATATGCAGAGATCATAATTTCCTTCCTATAGATCTCTGCTAAAAGAACTTCTTCAGGTAGAAGAGAGAAAAATGCATGAAGACAACAGTAAACACCAAAGCTGATAAAATATGTAAGTAAATAAACTATGTTCTGTAAGACATTTTAAACTATTTTTATGTGTGTGTGTTAAAATGAATGGAAAATGCTACAGGATTTGGTATGTTGTATTCATTGGGTTCTTAGAACAAGTAAAGGCTCTTGTTATATTCGGGAGGAAAGCAAAGATACTGAAAAACTAGAGACTTTGTGAAAAGTTATAATTATGTATGCAGTCTGTGTATGTTAAACATTTAAAGGAAACTACTCACTCAATCTGAAGTTTCTGAACTTGTAGAAAAAAAAATAATAAAAAGTACAAAACAAGTATTTCAAGAAAAGCAGAAAAAATGGAAGTTGAAGATAAACAAACAAAAGTCCTTAAAGAAAACCTAAAAGAAAAAAAAAGAGGAGGAAAATGAGTATAATGAAAGTCACTAGGGAAAACTTAGGAGCTCTGGTAGCCTAGTGACTAAGGCACTTGATTGCTAACCAGAAGCCTGGCGATTCAAACCCACCAGCCACTCCTCGAAAGGAAGGTTGGGCAATCTACTTCGTAGTATTACTGCCTCGGAAACCCAAGGAGGGGTCGCTATGAGTCGAACCAACTCGACCGACGTTAAATAACAACAACAACAGGGAAAACTTAAACAATGGAGAAAACAAGCTTCCACAATCCTACTAACCTCTGACTTCTTTTATGACAGTTTTTCTGTAGATATATATGCTCATATAGTCATGGTCAACTGAAAGATAATTGTTAACATTTTATAAGTATTTGCCTATCTCATTAAAAAGTTTTCACAAATAATTTAAATAGCTCCATAATACTTTATTCTACTGATGTAACAACATTTACTATTTACCTGTTACTGAGCATTTCCATTTTATCCACTATTTCTAACTTCAATTTTTTTTTTCTTGATCACAACAGCAATGAATTTTTCGGAATATGTAAATCACATAAAAGTAAAAAACAAAAAGGAGAAAATAAAAGTGTATCAATGGTGTGGCAGAGGCATCTGACATTCTCTAACTTCAAGAAGAGGAAAGAGAATCACCATCAGCACCAGCCCAAGGCTTATTCCTACGAAGCA